AAGGCAGTTCAGGGAATTGTAGGTTTGATCTTCATTACGGATAGGGTTTGCAAAATAGGGACTATATTGCTACTCCTATGAATTATATGGTCCTTGGCCGGTCTAGCTAGTCAAGAAGAGTTACCAGTTCATTAAAGAGTCACAGCTCACTGGAGTAAAAACACGAAATTTTGTTTTTTTCCAATACCTGCCTCCAATTGTGAAGTTGTTAAATTTTACTCCTTTCTTGCTGTTTTGTCTTCTTAGGGACAATGAGGCAAGAAGGCTTGGCCATTTGCCATTTACCGGTGCCTCCTTCATCTGTAGACATATGGGCACACTGCACTATCCCTAGGAGATTGTAGGGCCGCAGGCCTCTCTTTGCGATTGGCTGGCTCTTTGTGATGCTGGTGGTCTCTGCTGACTGGTGGTTTCCTGGTCTTCCTGCGCTGGGTTTTCATGTTTCCTTAGTGCGGTCCTCCCTTGACGAGAGGAGAGATTCAAAAGCTGGATCATGGGGCTTTGGCTGTCCCTTGAAGGAGTGCGAATTTTATTTTTAGGTTTATCGAGAAAGAGATGAAAGATATTAATAACAGGATCCGATTGCTACTTTAGGAAGAAAACTCTACTGAGTCAGAGATGGTCTGTATGAGAGCAAGAGTGGAGGCAGAGACCAGTCAGGGGGCTGCTGCAGAAGCCTAGATGAGAGATGATTGGCTACGTTTACATGAATACTGGTGAAGCATCTGGATTCAAGCTGTGTTTTGATTGCAGACCCAGCGGAAGTTACTGGTGTACTGGATACAGGGTGTGAAAGAAAATGCAGAGTGAACGGCCAGAGGTGTGCCCCAAATTGACAAGGCAGCCATTAAAACCACTGCAGAAGGTGGGAGAACATTTTGGTGCTCAGCTGGGGACAGCGACGAGAATAGGAAGCAAATGATGTAATCGGAGGGTAGCAACTTCAAAAGAGAATACATAGTGGAATGATGGTGACAGAGCAAAGTCCATCCTTCCTCTCTGACCCCATGAGGCCCCATGGGACTCATTTCTACTTTCCTATGAAGTGGGAATTTATTTGGTTCTGGGAAAGTGGTATCATTGAGGGAAAATAGGGGTCCGTTAAGATGTAGTAGAGAAAGGCTGCTAGAAGGAAGATCCTGAATCTAGACGGATTTTCCCATAACGAATGATACTGATGGTACATGTGACTGGTTGTAAGTGATGCTAGAGGATGAAAGGGTAGGAATAAAAGTCCTGAGGAGTCTCCTGATCTTAGTACTATTAGGTAAAAGCTATCATGGAAAACAGGCTGAAGGCATGTTAATAATAAAGAAGGAGAAATGCCAAGCTGGACAATTTGCTTTAAAGGTCGGCCAAATAACATACCTGTGCCGAAGTTCCGCCTGAAACGGGAGCATCAGTGCACACCCCCTGTGTTAGGAAGGCACGGGAGCAGGTCCACTTTCTGTTTTACACTTTACCTGGGTGGGTGTTCTCTGATTTCTCCATGTACTGTTGAGGTGAGTGATTGTGACATCAGAAGCAAATCATACAATCGTGGTTTTCTGCTTTTCTTTTAAAATGCCTTCTCACTTTTATTATCTTTTACCCTTTTCTTATTATCATCATTTCTCACCTGCTTTATATCTCATAGTATATTGTACAATAGACTAACATCCTAACATTGTATTTTAAGTCTGAAACTGACTGTTGGAAGTTTTTGGACCCAGGATTTTGGAAATACTTAACTGAAATCTATCTCTTGTCATGAATCTCAGTCAGCATGATATCAGCCATTCACGTTTTCGAAAAGTGAACATTACTGTCTGGATAACCAGACCATCATGTCACTTGTGACATCATTAATGGCATAATGTCCATATCTGTGTAGTGAGCACTTAGGTGATGAAAGATAGTTCAGCAGCATCTTCAAAACAAAGCAAAAGGAATTTCAAAATGAAATTTGTGACCCAGATAATCATTTTAATGAATTGTGACATTATTCCTTCCCTTTTAGATATCAATTTTAGGTATGTTTATTAAGGAAATTTACATATACTGCTTTATTAGTACATATGTCACACTTTGCTTTCAAACCTTGTTATGACACATTTAATGGGATTTGAACTTTGAAGTTATAGGATTGCCTCTTCTAGAATATGAGAAGAAGGAGTAAAAAAGATTAAATAAGAGCAGTTTAACTTTATGAATGGAGAAGATAATGAGTTCTGTCATGTTAGAGGCTCACTGAATAAGGAGCAGGTAAAATATGTTAAATAATCTTACTGAAAAACTGGTTTACTAATACTAAAGTTTCTTATATGGTCTTTAGCTTTGAAGGAAAGATTGGAAGGGGTTGGTACAAATCAAAAATACTACTTTGTTGAAACGTGCTTTGTGAAATGTAATTATCTTCCAAGATGCTGATAATTAGAAACTGTGATAGCAGCCTTCTGTTATAAGCATAAGTAAGAAGGAATAATGAATCTGTATCTGAATTAACAAGAGGTCAAAGACTTGCTGAACCAGCTAACTGAACATTTTACAATGGATTGGCAAGATAAAGATCGCAGATGCCACCTACTGAGACAGAGGCAACATTCACAATTAAGGTAATGCAGTTCCTTCCTAAAACTCCTTACATCTAGTTATGTATTCAGTATTTGCCATCTTATATTGTAGACTTCCTAAAGACCAGGATCATATCTTCAGAATTTTTCATAATGTCTGGCATGCTACAGCCTCTCAATAAATTGATTCAATAAATAATCTTTTTTTTTTTTTTTTTTTTTTTGCTTTGAGAAGATGATTCAAGTTGGGAAACTGTGCTAATGAATACACTGATTTCTTCCATTAGTCAAACGTCAGCTATAGAAATTAAGACAGGAGAGGAAAATACAAATTTACAAATAATGTAGTCATTTTAATCATTAGTTCCTACCTTCTTTCTCCAACAAACCTTTTTCTAGAGATTATTTTGATCTGCCTTTTGAGAGATATATGGTCAATAGCCAATGGTCCCATACGTAGCAGACAGAAAAAGCCAAAGGTCTAGAAATTATTATCTAATCAATCCTGAAAAAGTGGATGTGTAACACATTTTGTATATACCGACATAAATAACATTTAATATTGTGGCGTGGAGGACACTCTTGTTATCTGTTAAAGGAGAAACTGGTTATTTACTGAAATCCCAGTATTATTTAATAATAAAACATGAAAATAATTCTAGATGCTCTGGAGAACTGTTTTTTACCATGTTTGAGGAGTATAGTTGCTTCACTGGCTATCGCTTCTGTTTGAGTAATTTCATTCTAGTTCGTTGCACATGCTGCTGTATGTGTATGTGAGTGTGTGTGGGGGGCTTATTTTGTTATGAAAATGATGTATTTGTAAAGGTGTTTGTTCATCTTTAAAATAGAAAACTTTGGAGGCCTCAGTTGAAGAATGGCAAATGGGCTAGTAGTTGAAAGAGCTGATGTCAGGGATTTCACAACAAACGAGTATTTTGAAATCAATTAGCTCACTAAAGATATCAGTTTGAAGTTAACTATCAGGGATTCTACAAAAGCTCTCTTAATGGTTGAGTTTGTTCTCCTCCTTTCTAGTCCCCGCCAAAGCAAAGAATTGAAAGGCGGAGACACAATAGCGAAGCAGAGTGAAAGTTTTATTTGAAGGCACTCCAAGGAAAGGGTGGGCCAGGGTCAAGGGAGACAAAGGCCCCAAACTCTCGGGAGGATTTGTTGATCTTGTCCTAGCTGGGACACGGAAAACCCCTGGGGAGTAAACCGCAATTTTATTTTAATGAGATGAGGTGTAGTTTTGTTCGTTTGCGCCTGCATTGGACCTGGTTGGGACCTGGTTGAGACCTGGTTGGGAGCTGTTAGGCCTGTTCGTGATAGGCAAGGAACTTCCTGCAAATCCTTTGTTGTTTTCAAATGGGACCCTCTACATGGGTGTTTCTTTCTTGAACCTTATCTCTGCCTTCCCCGGCTGCTCATGTCTATCTTTCTACCTAACAGTTCAAAGGGAAAAAAACATCAGATAGATATATCCATAATGGATATATCTTACAGAGCAAGAAATGGATATTTCTTACAGAGCAAGAAAATATTCAATAATGGATATTTCTTACAGAGCAAGAAAAAGAAATTAGACTTTTCTGGCAACTTGTTAGTGGAAAGAAAAGTGCCTAAATTAGCTCATTAAAGCCACAGACAATCAGTGAAGACTGGGGATACAACCACAGATATACTTACTATCCCCTTTAGAATCCACCCAGTAGGCATCTTTGCTGTGGCTGCAAAACTGCTTTCGCTTGGACATAAGTCCAGTCATGAATTCCTAACGACCTCCTCTAGAGTGAAATGCATGGATGCAGGAATCTTATTTACTAGGACCACCATTTTGCAAACCTTCTGAAGGCTTTTAAGAAAAATGCTCTATGAATGCGATAGGAGGGGGAGGACAGGGAAGATGGCATTTGTGGAGAACGTGCTGTCAGTTACCGTTCAAGGCACTTTCAGTGGTTCATTTTACTAATTTGAATCTACAACATTCTAAAGAGGGAGGAAAAATCCCTGTTACAGACTAAGAAAGTGAGAGTTAAAGAAATCTGGAGACGTGTCAGATAAGGGGCAACGGAAGAAGTCAATCCCATCAGTTTTGACGTTGCCGCCCATTATTTAATGTGCTAATAGTGGAGCAGCAGGACCAGAAATGTTTCCCGAGTGTGACCAGTTTAGAAATTAGGGCAGAGAATCCGGTAATCAACAGACAGAAGCCGTAGATTTAATTGCACTTTGCTTCCCAAATTCAGCAGTTTCTGGAATGGGGGGTGGCAGAGAGGATCAACAGAATTTTTAGGAGATAATTAGCATTTTTCTGGAGCCCACCGTGGACTCCATCTGCGTTACTGCGGAGTCAACAGAATGCAAGTCGTCTGCCAAACGGAGGAATGAGCCTCCTCCCGCTGCAGGACTTCGTCCGTCCGCCTGAGGCCTCCCGGGGACGGAAGGGGCCGGGAGCCCTTTGGCTCTGGTTTGCGCGGCCCGCGGCCCGCCCCGGAGGGCGGAGGCAGGGCTTCGCGGAAGGTCATTGGCGCCCCTGCTCCGGGGCGGCCTGACGCTCACCGCGTGCCCGACGCGCTCTCTCTTCGCCCGCAGTCCCGAGGCTCGGCCCCGCAGCCGCCGCTCCGAGCTCAGTCGCGAGGAAGCCATGGCGATGTCCAGGGGCCGTCTGTACCTTTGGATGTGCTTGGCTGCGGCCGTGGCCTCCTTCCTGGGGGGATTCATGGTGGGTAAGTGTCGGGGCGCCTCCCCGCCCGAGCACAGGCTGCCGCTCCTCCCTGCAGTCGGGCCTCCCGGGACGCGGGCGTGCTGTGCGCAGCGCTTATGCCGCCGGCGGAGCTCGCCGCGTCTGGCGAACTCCGCGTATGTCAGCAAAACTGCAACCGATGGCATTAATGTGTGCCTGGAATTCAAATGTCTTAAATGCTCAGTGAGCTCGGGGAAGGGTTCCTGGAGAGCCAATTTAGAGCTGTCACTGTCTGCAGGGATGAGACACATGGTTTCATTTCCAAGCGCTATTAAATGAGTCCAAACTTGCTGCTAATTTGTGTAGCGCTGCAAAAACACAGCTCTTCCCTCATCATTTATTAAGTACATACTTTTGGAATGTGCCCTGTGTGTCAGGCACTGTGCTATGAACTAGATCCCCGGGGAAAACAAAAAAGACAGAGGCCAGTGCCTTGGTACTAACGCTCAGGGAAATGAAAAGAAGACCCCATATAAAATTAGATTACACAGCATATTTTGAAGATTTTTCTGTGTTTAATAGGAACATTTACATAAAGCTTACCATCCTATTTCTTAAGTAAGGGGTATTTTTTGGCTTCTGGTTTTTATGAAAGTCAAAAGCAATTACGTGTGTATGTGGTATGTATATATCTGTTCTCCACACAGGGTGGTTTATTAAACCTCTCAAAGAAACAGCCACTTCACTGCGCAATCACCAAGGTCTACGGTGGAAACTGGTATCCGAGATGAAAGCCGAAAATATTAAGTCATTTCTTCGGTAAGTTTGTTTTGCCCAGTTTGATCTCAGAAATAGTGTTTGAAACATTGCAGTTTTTATTGACTAGTTTTTATTCATGCCGGTAATCTTAGTGTGAAATCATGATATCACAATTTATGATAGTTTAAAATGTCCTTTTTAATGACTCTTAAGGTCAAATTTCTTTGTTGCAGAAGTAGGTCTTCTCTAACTTCATCTGTGCAAAAAGTATCTGCTTGCTGTATTGAGATGTTTCAACTTGGTGAATTTTGGACTGCAGCTGAATGCTAGCTACTCTTTGTTTCTTAGGCCTAGGTTTAATCAGTAGTTTTATTTAAACATACTCTGGTCAGGAAGATTTAAATGGTTGTAAACTCTAGTTTGAGAGGAGATGAAAGTTTCAGATTCTGTGTGCCACAAATTAAACCTTTATCCCAAGTTGCAAATATAAGGAACACAAATAGGACAAAAATGACAGGAGAAGGATTAGTGCAAATTGACCAGCATTTATGCATGGAAAAGAGTGACATTCAGGGGAGTGGTTTAACTCCTTGAAGGCAGTCACTATAATCTTTATTTCTGTATTCAGATTCTTCTAAAGGAGTGTCGTTAAAAACCAAAACAAAATCAGCTTTATTGAAGTATACTTTGTATAAAATAAACTGCATCCATATAAAGCCTGGAATTTGAGAGTATTGACAAAATGTGTAGTAAACTCAACAGACCTTTCTCAATGGAGATACAGAAATTTTACACCATTATCTTTGTAGTTTATTCCTCCCTTCACCTCTAGCCCAGGGCAATCACTGATCAGTTTATGTCAATATGGGTTCCTTTGCATTTTCTAGAATTGTATGTAAATGGAATCATGCACTATGTGCTCTTTTGTGTTAGTGTTCACCAAACATAATGATTTTGGAATTCATCAGGTTGCTGTTTCTATCAGCAGTTTATTACTTTTATTGCTAAATATCATTCTATTGTTTGGATGTATTATAATGTATTATTAATGGACCTTTGAGGTGTTCTTAGTTTTTGGTTATTGTGAACAAAGCTGCTATGAACATATGTTTACAAATTTTTTGTAGGTATGTTTTCATTTCTTTTGGAATGGTTGTGTTGAATGAGAAGCATGAGTTTAGTTTTTAAGAAAATGCCAAACATTTCAAAAGTGGTTGTGTCATTTTATGTGTCTATTATGTATGAGTGTACCTGTTGCTCCATGTCCTGGTCAGCACTTAGTATGGTCCCTTGTTTTAATTTCAACCATTCTAATGGGTGTATAGTGTTATCTCATTGTGATTTTAAATTGCATTTTCCAGATGACTGGTCATATTAGGTGCCTTCTCATATGCTTATGGACATTTGTATGAATTCCTTATAAATTATCTGCTCAAATATTTTCCTATTTTACATTGTTTTCTTATATTGAGTTGTAACAGTTCTTTATTTTGGATACAATTCCTTTGTCAGACATGTACTGCGAATATTTTCTTCTGTTCCAAATTTTTAATTTTGGTAAAGTCCAGTTAATGAATTTTTGGTTTTATGTTTCATATTTTATGTCCTAACTTTGCCTATCTATGAGAAGTTGTAAAGATTTTTATTTCTGTTTTCTTTTAGAAATTTTATAATTTCAGCTTGCACACATAGGTCAGGACCCACTTCAAGTTAATTTTTGTAAATGGTATGATGTAAGAGTTCATTTTTTAAAAATTGAAATTAGTTGATATACCGTATTAGTTTCAGGTATACAACATAGTGATTTGACAATTGCATGTATTATGAAATGCTGACCGTGATATGTGTAGTTACCATCTGTCACTACATAAAGTTGTTACAGTGTTATGTTATTGAATATATTCCCTATGCCGTATCTTTCATCCTTGTGATTTATTTATTTTATAATTGGAAGTTTGTACCTTTTCATCCCCTTCACCTATTTTGCCTGTTCCTCTCCATGCCCTACCTTATGGCAGCCACCAGTGTGTTTTCTTTGTGTGTCTGAGTCTGTTTCTGTTTGTTTGTTTTGTTTTTCAGATTCCACATATAAGTGAAATCATTTGGTATTGGTCTTTCTCTTTTCTGACTTATTTTACTTTGCATATTACCTTCTAGGTCTATCCATGTTGTCAAAAATGGAAAATTTCATTCCTTTTGATGTCTAAGAGTTATTGCATATATGTACCCCATCTTCTTGGTCTGTTGGTCTATTGATCCATCGATGGACATTCAGTTTGCTTTCCTATATCTTGGTTATTATAAGTAATGTTTCAGTGAACCTACGGGTACGTATATCTTTTTGAATTTGTGATTTTATTTTCTTCAGGTAATTATCAAGAAGTGGAATTACTGGTTCATGTGGAATTCCTATTTTTAATCTTTTGAGAAACCTCCATACTGGTTTCCATGGGGGCCACACCAGTGGTAACAGTGCTGAAGGCTCCCCTTTCTTTATGTTCTCGTCAACATTTGTTATTCCTTGTATATTTTATAATAGCAATTCTCTCCTAGTGTGAGGTAATACCTCATTGTAGTTTTGATTCGCATTACCCTGATGATTCGTGATGTTGGGCATCTTTTCATGTGTCTGTTGGCCATCTGTATGTCTTTTTGGGAAAAATGTCTATTCATATCCTCTACACCATTTTTGGTGTTGAATTGTATGAGTTCTTTATATATTTTGGATATTAACTCCCAACTCCCTATTGGATATATCATTTGCATATTCTCCTATTCAGTAGATTGCCTATTTGTTTTGTTGAGGGTTTCCTTTGCTGTGCAGGAACTTTTTACTTTGATATGATCCACCTGTTTATTTTTGCTTTTGTTTCCTTTGCCTGAGTACACATATCCAGAACAAAATTGCTAATGCTGATGTTCAAGAATTTATTGCCTATTTTCTTTTAGGAGTTTTATGATTTCAGATCTTATATTTAGGTCTTTAATACATTTGAGTTCATTTTTGTTTATGGTGTAAGACAGTAGTCTATTTTATTCTTTTGCATGTAGCTGTCTAGTTTTTCCAATACCATTTATGGAAGAAACTGTCTTTTCTACATTGTATATTCTTGCCTCCTTTGTCATATATAATTGACTATATAAGCGTGGGATTATTTCTGGATTCTCTATTTTGTTCATTTGATCTATGTGTCTATTTTTGTGCCACTACCATACTGTTTTGAATGCTGTAGCTTTGCAGTATAGTTTAAAATCAAGGCATTCATGTGATACCTCCAGTTTTGTTTTTCTCAAGATTGCCTTGGATATTTGGGGGTCTTGTGGCTCCATACAAATTTTAAGATTATTTGTTCTAGTTTTGTGAAAAGCACCATTGGTATTTTGATATGGATTACATTGAAGCTGTTAATTGCTTTGGGTAGTATGACCATTTTACCAATATTAGTTCTTTCAATCTGAGCATGGAATATCTTTCCATTTGATTACATTATCTTCAGTTTCTTTTATCGGTACCTTATGGTTTCAGAGTACAGGTCTTTTGCTTCTTTGGTTAAATATGTTCCCAAGTATTCTATTCTTGATGCAGTTGTAAAAAATGGGATTGTTTCTTAATCTCTCTTTCCTCTAGCTCATTATTAGTGTATAGAAATGCAACATTTATTATATTAACTTTGTATTCTGCAACTTTACTGAATTCACTTATTCGTTCTAATAGTTTTTTAGTGGCTTGGGGTTTTCTATATGTAGTGTTATGTTATCTGCAAATAGTGACAGTTTTATTTCTTCCTTACTAATCTGGATGCCTTCTATTTCTTTTTCTTGTCTGACTGCTCTGACTAGGACCTTCAGTACTATGTTGAATAAAAATGAACTTGTGCATCCTTGTCTTGTTGCTGATCTTAGTGGAAAAAATATCAGCTATTCACCATTGAGTATAATGTTAATTGTGGGCTTGTCATATCTGGCCTTTATTATGTTGAGGTTTGTTTCCTCTATATCTTTGTTGGGAGTTTTTATCATGAATGGATGTTGAGCTTTGTCAGATGTGTTCTCTGCATCTTCTGAGATGATCATATGGTTTTCATCCTTTTGTCAGTGTGGTATATCACATTGATTGATTTGTGGATATTGACTATCCTTCATCCCTAGAATAAGTCTCATTTGGTCATGGTCAGTTATCCTTTTAATGTATTTAAAAATTTAGTTTATTAATGTTTTGTTGAGAATTTTGCATTTATACTCATCAGGGACATTAGTGTCTAATTTTCTTTTTTGTAGTCTTTATCTGGTTTTGGTATCAGGGTAATGCTTGTCTCATAGAATGAATTTGGAAGTGTTCCTTTTTTTTGGAATAGTTTGAGAAGGATTTGAATTGACTCTTAAGCACTTGGAAGAATTCACCTGTGAAGCCATCTTGTCCTGGATCTTTCTGTTTTGGGAGTTTTTTTATTACCAATTCAATTTTGTTAGTAATCCTACTGTTCAAATTTTCTGTTTCTTCCTTGTTTTTTCTTGGGAGATTGCATATTTCTAGAAATTTATCCATTTCTTTTTGGTGGTCCAGTTTGTTGGCCTATCATTTTTCATAGTAGTCTCTTATAATTCTTTATATTTGTGTTGTGTTTGTTGTAACTTCTCTTTCACTTTGGATTTATTTATTTGAGTCTTCTCTTTTTTTTCTTGATGAGTCTGTGTTTCTATTTTCATTAGTCTCCAAGTATTTTTTGATTTTATCTTTGGTATCTTCATTAACCCACATGTTGTTTAGTAGCATGTTGTTTAGCTTCCATATGTTTGTTTTTCCAGTTTTTTTCTCATATTTGATTTCAAGTTCATACAGTTATAGTCAGAAAAGATGTTTAATATGATTTCAATCTTAAATTTATTGAAATTTGTTTTGTAGCCTAACATGTGATCTATCCTGGAGAGTATTCCATGTGTACTTGAAAAGCATATGTATTTTGCTGTTTTTGGATGGAAAGAATATGTATTCTGCTGTTTTTGGATGGAATATTATGTATATATCTGTTAAGTTCATTTGCTCTAATGTGTTGTTTTAG